TTTTTTTGTTTGTTTGTTTGTTTGTTTTATATTATAGTCTTTACTTGTGCTCTGGGAAGCAAACCCAAATTGTTGTTGTATTTAGGTGCAAAGACAATAAAGGTCAATTCTATTCTTCTATTCTGTATAGTCAATTAAAAAAAAGCAAAGATCCAAAACATCATATGACAAAGTTCAGTTCAATCCAATATTCAGATTATTATCCAGTTACAGACATTTCACTTCAGTTATAACACAATACAGTTCTTATTCTAAAATGCCATTGTAAATATTTTGTTCTATGGAAACCAAGAAACTGCACCAAAGCTTTATTTTATTGCAATCCTTCATCCTGAGCAGGCATCATGAGGGGGCGACAGTGGAAAGGAATGACTCCCTTTTAACAGGAAGAAACTAGCTGAAGGTTGTGAGGACAATATTCCATTAGGTTTTCTTCATGGTTTTAACGTAAAACATTTTGGGTCAGAAAAGCAACGTTGTATCTGTGCTAAACTGTAAGTTAATTTTATCAATAATTTAGATTTTACACTATAAGTAGCTTATCTACAAGCTCTGTTGCTCAGCTTTTAATCATTCTCAATAAATTTCTACTTTCTTATTCACAAATCTAAATGCTTAACTCTGTTTCCTAGAGAGAAAATATTATTAAAAAGTTCTTGTATGTCTTTTTATTCTGGCTAATTTAGAGCACAAATGTAAAAATCAGTATGAGAAAAGTTGCTCTTCCTCACCAGCAGCAACATTTTTCCGCGGGGTGTTTCTGTTGTTAAGGAAGAGGAAGTCAAAATGTTTTAGCTGTTTCAGCTACTCTTCATCCCTGCAGGCTTGTTCACTCAGTTTTACTGTACGGCTAATAAAAGTACGACACTTCGTTTCAGTTCGCCTGTTTAAGAGCTGTTTGTTCAATGCAACCCATTAAGTGTGAGGTGGTGGGGGACGGGTAAGTTATTTATTTAATTCATATATATATATATATATTCTCTAATTGCTACAGTTTTGTAGTGTGACATGTAAATTAACAAATTAAAACTAAAAAAGTTGACAATGTTTATCCAGTTAACTGTTGAGTGGTGGCCAGCGCGCTTCTAATTATAACCTCAACATTTTATATTGTGACTCGTGTACAATCATAAAGTTGATGAAAAATGGTCTTTTAATGGATTTAATCAACGATCATAACCTACGAACAACCTGTGTTAATTGTTAACTGTTGCTGTATTTATGTAAATACTTAAAACTATTGGGTATTTCTCAACAAACTGAAGAATGATACAAGTAAAATGAAATTTCTTCAAGGTATCAAACGCCTCCTGGTATTAGTCATTTGGGTGTCTTATGACAGTAAATTCAATCCAGACTTGTTTCCTGGTAAGACTGGTTTCCTGCACTTACTGGAAGTTTTGTAACACCTGTCAAGTTATGGTTTTAGTAGATGGCATTAACACTATTTATCATGAACATGCACAAAATATACACCATCACATCAGTAAGCTTTTTTTAGTTATTATGTCTGAGATGTAGCAGGAGTTCAGACATCTGCTGATGTGTGTGCGCGCGCTGGGTAGAAATTGGAGACATTTCTGTGTGTAACGTGCACTGTCTGCAGGGCATTTATTTATTCTGTTGAATAAATGATTGTTTCTGTTTCGGGGTCTGAGAGGAGGAGGAGGAGAGGGGGTATTTTTTTAGTGTACAGCCCCACTGAGTAGGGATAATATTTGGAGAGGAGGAGAAACGTAGGACTCTGCGCAGAATATCTGTGCGTAAGACCATCTGTCCCTCCGTCTTCATCCCCCACCCTCCGCCTGGAGGCTCCTCTGCTGCTCCTCGAAGGAGCGTGTAGCTGGTTCGCCGTGCGTGCTGCGGCTGGAATATCCACAGACGGGTTCCGCCGGCCTAAAGGCAATGTCTCCTCTCGTTGTATGTTTTAATAAATAATCAAAATAAAAATGCACAATGACTTTGAACTTTTAGGGGCGGAACTGCCGGATCCGAACAAAGAGTTGCCGGAACAGAACAGAACGGAACCGAAAATGAGAGAGTTCCCGGATCTTGTTCCGGCAGGATCCGGCTCAAATTAACCACTGCTCACTGTATTCGGCGGATGTGCACGGCTGTGGGGGCAGAAGATCGGAGCTGAGGGGGTGTTTGTCCTTTCATGTCCGTCAAAGCGCATTAAGTCCCCACTTCTACATGCATTCTGCATTATTCAGACACGGACTTTGCTCTGACATGTTGGATATTTTGGGATCTCACCTGTTTGGGTCGTCAGCCATGCATGTCCGCTGAGTGCAGTGGCTGAATGAACGTCCATTTGGGCTTTGGATGGATCGCTGCCTGGCAGTATAATCCCATCTGAAGCTTAACTGAATATTTTTTTTACCTCTTTCAAGGCCGGTCAAATGGCTGCGTGTGGTTGGTGATTGTATGGCAAGCCATATTACCATATAATTGTTTCATCAGCTGCGCGCATCAGCTGACGCAATCAAAAGTCAGACACCGACCCAGCCCACACATTAAGCACATTATTATGGCCCTAATCCGGGTTGGGTGGGGCTGGGCTCCAGGTTCGATTTAGAAATGACAGCTCTATAACATACTCACAGGTAAGCAAAACATTAGCATGGAGCTACATTTAGCACCATGCAAAAAAAAAAAAAAACCACAGTAATCACACACAAAATACAACCAATGTTTTATCCTTCTCATCAGTGCTTGACATGCTGAACAAAAATAAACTTACAATAATTTGTCAGTAGTACTCAGCTCAATCTCTGCTAATCGTCATTACTGGCGCCAATCTTGTTTAACCTGGACGTCACATCTGGTTTGCAACTAACATTACTTAAAAATAACCCTTTGTTATTTTTAGACAATTTGTGAATAACTAAATAAATGACATTTACATGAACATAATCCCTGCCAGTTACAAAGACATTGAGAAGAAATGCACATCAGTGCTGTTTACTGTTCTCATTATCTTCTCATTTGTCCTCTCAGGACTGTGGGTAAAACGTCTGCTCATCAGCTACACCACCAATGCTTTTCCAGGAGAATACATCCCCACAGTGTAAGACACACACGACACGATATATCACTTAAAATCCCTGTGTTTGTACATCAGGCAGTAAAACAACAAGTCAAACAAATTTAATTTGTTTCTAAAGCAATTTTTTTTCCTGACTTCCTGTAGCTTTGACAACTTCTCTGCCAACGTGATGCTGGATGGGAAACCTGTGAATCTGGGTCTGTGGGACACAGCGGGACAGGAGGACTATGACAGGCTCAGGCCCCTGTCCTACCCACAGACGGTAACATTTCACAGAATGCATATCTGTAATGCATACAGGCAGGAGCACTTTCTTTACTTTGTCAAGCTATTCTCTGGACTCTATGGCTCTACGCAGAGTCTCATTCTCAGCAGAGTAGGGCCTTGTGTCTCCAGTACCAATGTTGGTTGAAGACAGTGAAGCAGCTCTTGTTGTGCCAAAGATGCACAAGGGCTGCTGTTAACCAACAACATTCAGATTTGTTTGTATTAGTGAAGCTGTTTGACAATGACTTAAAGGTAAAATTGTATAACCCAACTGTCATGATAGGTTTTTACATTAGGATGTAAGTATTTGCGTTTGATAGTTTTCAATAAAACATTTTTGTCCTTTCCTTCTTGTCAGGATGTGTTCCTGATCTGCTTTTCGATTATCAGTCCAAATTCACTTGAAAATGTCAAGACGAAGGTAAGAACAACCAGTTAAGTGTTCAGATCAGCCTGGTTTGATCGTTAAGGAAGTGCGTGAAACAAAGCTGGAATACAGGCAGGACACTGACACAAGGCTAAGACTGGCAATGAACATGGTGTCGAATTTTAGATCTAGGAATATTATTCTCAAAATAAATAAAAACAATGTATAATTTGCAACAATAGACTGCAGATTCTGTTGTTGAGAAAGCAAAAGCTGTAGAAAGCTGCCTCCACATGGGCCCACCACCTGAAAAAAGTGAGGCACAATCAGGCTTTAGCTACAACGCATGTCTTCTCATTGGCAGGAAAGGAGCCTGAGTTGGTGTTGAGGTTAAACAACACAAACAGCATGTAAACTGACTCATATTCATGCAAAGTTAACCTATGGTGATCAACGTCTAGAGTGGGTTGGACTATCTCTCCTACTCTGGGGTTGCCCAGAAGAACAGGGGGTTGTGAGGGTAGTCCTGCTGAGTACTAGTAATCAGTGCTGGAGTCCTTCCCGGACAGTGAAAGGATTGCCTTTCTGCAGCTTAGCCATAGCTTAGTCATTCTCCAAAGGGGCTTCCTTGCTCTTATGAGCAATGACAAAGGGATTACAAGAAAATGCTTCCCTGATCTAAATTTGAGTAGAGCTTTGGTGTTGGACTTGTGTAGATATATACATAATGAACACTATGTTTGAGTATAGGGTGGCTATAAGTGTATAGTACTTGGTGTCAGGTTTTTGGCTAAAGGTTTACAATCAGCCTTTGGCCCAAGGCGGCTCCACGTCTACACAGTAAATTTTGCACATGACACTGGTTAAAAAATGACTAGAGATCACTACTTGGTAGTGAGTCGGCTTTGATGTTGGGGAAAGCTGCAGAGCATATCTGCTAAACCCAAACGAGTAATGAGGGTGAACTGGGATTGTCTCTGTTCATGAGATCTTCAACTCACATGTCCTGAGGAGAGATGGGCCATGTTCAAGACCTGTGTTGCAAACAGCTTGCAGTAGCTATGACCAGGAGGGCATTTGTAGCTGTCGTGAAGACAGTGTTAGTGGACACTGACCATGATGGAAGCTGACACCTGCAGAAAGCTGAGGCAGCTTCTGTGGTTGCAGTGACAAGAACTCAAGCATGGGAGGAATTAAAAGGTTCATGAAAAATAACTTCCTTTTACTTTTACTTCAAAGAAGAGGTTCTGGTGAACTATTGGGTGACTTGAAAATGGGAAGCAGGGCCTGTTTCAACATGATTTTGAATACAAGAGACTAAAATGAGCTTGCTCCTCTGCTCAGCCTTATGGGTAATGCGCTGTACTCTGTCATCCATGAAGAACTCAGAAAAGAGCTGCTACTCCTCTGTGTGCCTGGGAGTCATCTGAGGCATTAGTTGAGGCAAAGATGTTTCCCTCTGAAGCTTTCTGAGTATGATCCACAGGAGACCCAAGGGCAGCCCAGAACTTAGAGGGATTACATGTCCACTCTGGCTGTGGAATATTTTGGGATACCCCAAAGTTGAAGATCTGGGTTTTCTACGCAACCTTGGATAAGTGACAGAAAATGAATGAACCAAAATGTGATTTATAGTAAAACATATTGTATGTAGAATAGACACCCATGTTAACAGTGATGTACACATTTAACCACAAGTGAAAATATGCTACTATTTATCTGTCATTACTGCAAGTTCCATTATCTATACTTCTCCTACAGTGGAATGAAGAAGTGGAACACCACTGCAAAGGTGTGCCTAAAATCCTTGTGGGCACCAAGCTGGACCTGAGAGAAGATGAGGTGATGTTAAAAGAGCTCAAGGAGAAAAAAATCTTTCCTATCACTTATCCTCAGGGCTTGGCCATGGCTAAAGAAATAGGTCAGTTGTATCACCACACATGCACTGATATGTAAAAAAAAAAAACCATTTTATGTATGGTCTTCTTTATATAAAGGAAATTGAGACGGACGGACGGACGGACGGAAAGACAGACAGACAGACAGACAGACAGACAGACAGACAGACAGACAGACAGACAGACAGACAGACAGACAGACAGACAGACAGACAGACAGACAGACAGACAGACAGACAGACAGACAGACAGACAGACAGACAGACAGACAGACAGACAGACAGACAGACAGACAGACAGACAGACAGACAGACAGACAGACAGACAGACAGACAGACAGACAGACAGACAGACAGACAGACAGACAGACAGACAGACAGACAGACAGACAGACAGACAGACAGACAGACAGACAGACAGACAGACAGACAGACAGACAGACAGA